CTAATATATTGTACAGTTACAGTACTGTGTTGGAGTAGAGTAATTCACCGAGTATATTGTTGAACGTGTTGAAGACGTTGTCTATAGCAATACTGAGCACATGTTGGCTGACAATACAAATTCGGAATTTTGTAAATTGAAAAACTTCTAATTCAACGATTAGTTAGATATGTATTGTTAAATGACGTTTCCTATTAAACATTTAATTTTGATTCTCAATCAGCAAGTTTGTTTTTTGTACCTCGATTTTACTAAATACTTTAAATACTCGTTTTATGAGGTAAAGGGAAAATTGTCAGATAAATTGGTGGGGGGAGGGTAGGTTTAAATAAACGACAACATAAATTGGGGGGGGGAACTACTCATTTGGCTTGGGGGGGATTGCACCTCTGGGTTTAGGGGGGATGGGCACCTCTGGTTAAGACTAGGTGAAACCCGTCGAAATCGACGGTTACTTTCAAGGCTTACGTTAATTCATCTAACTGCGATAAATTGGGTGAAATATACATATTTTGAGCATTTAGCATTGTTTAAAGAGTAATAAGTGTAAAAAAATAATGATATTAATTGCGTTAGTTGTCAAATTTGGTTGATCATTCAATGAATAAAATATTCCCCATACCATACGTCATCAGAGTTATTATTAGTATGTTATATGGTATCTCTTCCTTTGGAAGAACCTTTAAATAGTATTAAAATCGTATTGGTGGATCTTTTGTAGTTAAACACTTCTGTGATTTCTTCAGCGTAATATGATTTTATTTCAAAAGAAAATATTTTTGGGAAGACATATTCTAACTTCAAAGGGAGGTATATCCGTTACAGTGTAAGTTTGATTTTTCCTTCGCCACGTCGCGTCAGTTCATATCGTACTTCTGTGCCAATGAATGAACCCTCTAGCATCGTTTTGAGAAATTGATTGTGGGGTTCCTGTTAAAGCTGGAATTCTTTGACATGGGGATGTCAGTTAGTTGTCTCAGCCTTATCAATAACATAAAATTGTCAATATAATCTCTCTACGGAATGTTAGGTGTAGTGGAATACTTGAAGTGAAGTTGGCTTTTATTCTTGAACTGTTAGGGGCCTCCTAATTCATATGGTCTTGAGGCTTCATTGGCAACAAATAATGCAAATAACATAGCAATGGGACATTTCCAAAAAGCAAAAATGTTGTAAATTGGCTGTTACGTATATATTGAGTATTGACGATTACATTTGTTAATCAACGTATCTTATAAAGGATTATGTAATCTAGTTTAAAAGGAATATGACCTTTCTGTCATGACAGGAGCTTCTTAAATAGTATTTTTTCTTTATACCGTATTTTACAGCCAAAATGTCGTGTTATTTTCAATAATGTTACCAACCCAGTGCGCCAAAGACCGTAATATAGGCAGGTGCAAATAATTTGTCAAGATGGGTACCATTTTAGGCAAGGTTTCTTTGATTTGATTTTATTAGGCACGATAAGAGCAGATATTTCTACATAAGTATTTGATGTGTAGAATAATATGATAAAATGTAGGCAAAAGTTGTGAAAAAGGCAGACACCAACCCGTGCAATAGATAACTTATAAGATAGTTCAATAAGAAATAATTTAAGAATTGCTGTGATAAAAGGATTTTCCACTGATTTTGTAAAGGAACATTATATTGCAAAACATGACATGATAAAGAAGAAAATCAATTTCAAAATCAGAAAATAACATTGCAAATACTTATTTGGTAGAATTCAGTAACTCCCAATAAATGTGTGTTGTTTGAAATACAATTAAAAAATGAACAGCTGTTTCATTAAAAATATTATTTATGGCCAAAATGTAAACAACTCTGTGGAGGGATCTTGAAAGGCTTCTGGGGCAGAGTCTTAAGGGATTTCGCTAAGTTTTTCTTTTGATAACTCATCTACAGACCAAGACCTTTCTTTGCATACCTCTACCAAGTTTCTACGCCCAGCCGTTCTCTCAAATTAGTGGGTACAAAGTTTCCAATTAAATATTTAGATTCCCCCATGTTAATCTTATGGGAGAAACTCCAACTTTGATGGCCTGTGGGGCAAAGCCCGAGGATTTTTATTACATGAATTGGCAAAAGGGGGCGTCTACACATAAAATACTTTATTTTGACACGTAGTTTGTAAAAATCCGTTCATTATTAACGGAGGAGTAGTGTTTTGTAGAAATCGCCTTCACGTATTATATATAAGGATTGTATATTTTAATATAAAAATATTGCAGGTCTTTTTTCTTATGTAATGAAAATAGTTTTGGCAGCTATGTGTCCCTATTCTAAAGCCTCTCATTTTCAGGTCCTAACAAAAATAAGCCTTTCATTATGAATTAGATTCCAACCAAATCCAAACTGTAATCAGTTATCCTGTAGTGCTACAGCTACAACAGGTCATAAATAGAAAACTCTTAAACTATGTTTGTTGGATGTAAGTCATTACAAGTATTGTGTTTGAAAAATTAAGTTTGTACACTTTGTTATACTGTGCCAGTAAGTTCTTTTGCTAGAAATTCCTCATCAGTTATAAAGACTTCTTTTTTCACATCTTTTGCATCTGATGGGTGTGGTTCTGACAACATTTTCTTCAGTTCATCATTTACATCTAACAGCACAACTTCAGGAATGCTACCAATATATTTTCCATTTATAAACACATACGGCACTTCAGTATGGCCCTCACTACACTTGAACAAAGTATTTTCTAGTTCTACTCTATTTATGTAGTCTTCAATTTCTACAAACAAGAACTTCTGTTTATATTGATCAAAGACGGATTTCACTACAATAGTGTCTGTCTGCCAATAAATGCCAAATATAACAACCTTTTTTTCTTCAAATGAAGATTTAATAAACTCCACTTCACTCTTGTAAACTTCACCTGAAAATTGTTTAACATGTAGTCTGAGAATATCACATTGTGTGCACAAACATTTGACAACTGTAATGCTAATTGATGTTGTACCGGTATGCAACAGATACAAATCCTTATGATGTAGGTATTTTAATTGATTGTCATTTGCAGCAAAAAAGTTACTTATAGATTTAGTAAACTCAGAATTTAAATTGTAGGTAATATTAAATTTAAATAGGTACCAAGGTAATATGCTCGGTTTGTCTTAGTGATGATCAACATTAATACAAATTTCAGAAGCACTCCTCACATTAAAGACATTTGATTTGTAAACATCACATGTAATAAATAACAATTAAGTAATGTAATTTTCATTCAGGAAAAACTGCTCTGATGACTTATCAAAATCCATAGTTGTTATGATAAGTTTTGGACAAAACAAGCAAATAAATTGCTACTGCAACAAAACAAGATATATTATATTGATAAACTTTTTGATTTGAGACCAGAGGTAACCAGTAGACTTTTCTAATGGTTGATTCTACTTACTGGGACCTACTTCAATATTCAAGGTATGCTGAGAGGATCTGGATCTGGTCATCAACAGTTAGCTAAACAAAGTGAAGCCGGGAGAACCTTTTTATCTCACAAAAGCAAGGGTGCTACGGTGGTCAGTACTCATTGCTCATGGGTAGTTTTCACAGTGGTCTCAATACTTTTAAGGTATCATTTTCTGTTATTACTTTCTCATAAAATATTCTGTTTAAAAAAGGTTTGGGCAAAATTAGATGGAACCCATTTTTGTGATAATTGTTTTGAAGCTGCTATGCATCCGATCACCAGGTTTAAGGTGTCGTTGGTTAGGACGTGGCACATAGATTTGCCATCTATCAAAAAATCTTAGAAATTCCATTGGGGCTCTGCCCCAGTGGCCTTCAAAGTTCCTATGTTATCCGTATGGAGAAAATATTTGTTTACATTTGAACAGATGAATACTTTGAAATTTACATAAATATTTTGAACAGCTGGTTATACTAAAATTTAAATTAATGGAAACATGAGCAATAATAGTTGAAAAGATAAAAATGTACTGTTTTTATTAAACTGGCGTTTCACTGCAAAACACGTTTATGAAGGTTCAATGAATTTAAAAGTCAACTGACAGTACAGCAGTTACAATATTTGTTGTGATTCTTAAGATCTTTGTTTTACTGAAACTAAATAACAGGATATTATTTTATGAGTAGAGGATATTAATATCGAAGGAACAATAATTTTTTATCCAATTTTAATTTTATCTATTGTAAGGGCTGGAACCTGTATTCTTCTGCATGGTTATTTATGATAGGTGCGCAAGAATAATGATCAGAAGTTATTGATATAAGTTTTAAACATGTTTTTCATCTCCCAAAATAATATTTGATGATATCAGAAGGTAGGTTGGGCGGGTCCCACGAATTCTGGAAAAGGCCATTGTTGTGTTAAACAGGAATCTTGATATGTCGTCAGGCTTGATTAATGAGTGACTGAAAGTAAAGGAATGACTTTTGAAAAACATGTGGAGGAAATGTGTGAAAAAATTATAAAGGGGTCTTGGCAAAATCAGCAGGACAGGCCAGAGCCAGTAGAGGCATGACTAGGAAGTATTTGTTGGCAACGAGGGGCTTTGGTTTATCATTAAGGTTATCATCGATTAATCAAAAGAGAATCTTTTACCGACTTCACAAAAAAACTGCAAAAACGGCAAGTAAACTGCGAACTCAATTAGCCCTTTTACCATCTCTACCTTTAACAACAAAACCAAGAAACCAGAAAACGCCAAATAAAAAAGATCAATACAAATCTTTTTTCTCCTATGTCTAGATTGCGCACGATTACGTGCACCAGGTTCAATAGTATAAATTGAAGCCTTGAATCTAAAGTAATAAGTTCGGTCCTAAACAAATTTTTCATTGGGTTAGTTTATGCTTTTTTAACAGATCATAATTAGTTGGTATCCCAGGGTTTGGTTATTATACTAACTTAAAAAATCAATGATTGCAGGAAAATTACTGGAGTAAAATACAATTATTTGGAGAAAAATATTTAAAAAATTAAGTTAGTTATCTCATTGGGTGAAGAAAATTAAGTGTTGCTTGTTTATAAACATTTTATTCATAGTTCTATACACCATAATATAAACATTTAAATATATGTAATAATACACTAGGCTATATGAAAGTAGTACTATAAATAAAATTTATATACACATAAATATAGACACTTTAACATATTGCAATACATATATATATATTACACAGTCTAATCTTAAAATGTTCATATAAGAAACTCGTAGCTTGAAGTTTACAAGAGAAAGATTCAAGATTAATAAGAAAACAGCTTTCATAACACAGCCTTAAAATACACCACTTCAATCTTCTACTTGTCTGCTTATTAAAGATAATATTTTTGAACATAAATATTTTGTAACCTGTAGTAAGTGTCAGTGAAATAGTCAGTGGTATTTACACAGTAGTTACAGTGGATTCGTCCAGGTATTTATCCAATTCATTGTTAGCCTCCAACTCCATTATCTCATGTCTACTCCCCACATACCTCCCATGCATGAACACATAAGGCAGCAAGGTGTGACCACCAGTACATATGTAAAACACCTCTTGCAGTCCCACTTGAATATCCAGCTGGTCAATCTCACAAGCCCAATATTTCACTTTTTTCATATCCAGCCAAAACTTTACCAATCTCGTATCTGTCTGCCAAGGGATTCCAAAAACTACAATTTTATTTTGTGCGATTGATTTTTCTATGAAATCCACTTCATTTTTGTATTTTTCACCTAAAAATAACCAAATGTCATTCACAGGCTATAATGATATATTGCTTCATATAACACCTAATGAGAATTAGCTTTATAAATTAATATTTTGTGCAGTCAATTCAGTGTTACTATATTCAGTGTTGGGGAAGCTACTTTTAAAATGTAGCTAGCTACAACTACAGCTACAATGAAATGTAGCTATAGCTACAATTTTAGTTACTTTTCCAAAGACGTTACCTTTATTCCACGCACATTAGGTAAATGTAAAATTAATTGCAACTATATAAACCTAACATTACAACAACAGAACCAAAATAAGTTAGTCGGGTGTTACATCATATTTAGTACTTATTTTTAAATATTGTATTATTTTTAAGCATCTTATATGTAAATTTCATTAAGTTCAAAGGACATACAACCAAACTATATTTTAAAAGCCCATTTTATTTCTTTAGTATACATTCATTTATAGATGTCTTTTATCAACTATTAAAAACAATAAAAACTGTAAAATGATTATTTAAAAATACTTTTTTTGTGTTACAGAGCCTAGCCTACTGAAATTGGAGTTTATTGCCTTTCGTTATTTTTAATGTTAAAAACGACATTGCTATAACTTTTAACCATAGTAATATGTTACTTGTTCTATGAATAACACTTTTCAATGTCAAGAAATCGTTCTATGTCAATATACATAGGTCAAATTGTGCTTCAACAAACGTTGGTACAGAAAACAGTATTCAGCAACTTATCCTGAAATCGGCTTTTAATTTAAACATGTTGAAAATTGTTAAGTACCTAAAAATAACATTTAGGCGTACTTGGCTTTGTAACAAGTAGGCTATAGAAGGCTTGTTCTTACAAGAACTAAACAGATATACTATTAATTGAACTTGGTATTCGTATTAATCCAATAGCATAGCCTAGGATTAGTCCTTGACAAGAGCTGTTAGCAGGAGCAAACTACTGTATGCTACTTTTTCAATGCAAGTTTCATGTTATATGGATATTTTTTCGTTACAATTATTATGTATTCTAGGCATATCTTAAATCTCATCAGGAAATTTCCTCTTTCTTCATTTAGTAAACCTTTGAAAAATCTTTGTAATCTAACCAAGGAAGGGCTTGTGGTGATGAACCACAATCAACAGCTGAAGCAAAGGTTGATAGACCAGCTTTCTCATTATTTTAAGGTTTAGTGTTGGTTTCCATTAAAACCCAAGTTTAAACTAAATTGATACAATAAAGAAACTAAATTGATTACTAATTTCCCTGTCCATCACTTGCAAGCATTCAATAGCTTCTCTTGTTAGGTACCGGTAACGTTTAAACGTCGTCTGCATCTAGCGATTTTATTTTATCTGACAGTAATCATAGAGTAGCAAATGAAGGAAATGAGAGCCAAAAATGTGGATAACACTCAGATAATGACCTCCATGTCCACGCAACGTTGTAATAGTTAATGAAACGACTGTGACTAGCTGTATGAATGAAGCCAAGAAAGTAGGCCTAATTTTCTTGAAAATCTCAGTTTGAAAAAGGTTGTTTCTTCACGTAAGGTTCTCAATCAAATCAATCAATGTTAATGTAGCGAGAAAAGTAGCTAAAATTCTGCTACAACTACTTTAAAAATGTAGCTAGCTACAGCTAAAGCTACAAAATCTTAAAAGTAGCGTAGCTATAGCTAACGCTACAAAAAATGTAGCGCCCTACTGTAGCGTCGCTACTTGTAGCGCGCTACTTCCCAACACTGATAATACTATAGTTTTGTTTCCTGATTAGGATTCCAATATTAAAGAATACTTATCAAGTATAATATTTATAAGGACTCCAAGAACACTAATCATAAAACATCTTGTTGAAAATTTTTATATTTTGTGAAAACTATTTAAATAATGTAATTGTAAATCATGTTTTTAAAAAGTTTTTTGTGGCACTCAACTGATACAATTATATTATTCTAATTCCAAAAGTTTCATAACATTAATTGGTTGAATGGAAGTAAATATTATTTTTTTTTAATTTACTTCCATGGTATACTTAATAAAAAGCAAACTGGAACAGTGGTATTATCTTGCTTGTTGTTCAATATAATATTATTGAAAACCCTGTTTGATATTGAGCTTGGTTCCAGCAAAGTCTGTGTTCAAAAAGACTTCAATCTGGCAAATTGTATCATACTTCTCATAATCCATGAAACTATTAAATTCTTCCTCCTTTGTGAAACTTCTACTTATACATTATTGTATTTACTTTATGTTCAGTATATTACATCAAATTAAATGTTTCAGTTATAGTGCAACTGTATTCATATGTTCTGACTTTCCAGTAAAACTAGCTGTTACCCATGGACTTCACCCCATGTGACTTCATAAGTATTAATAAAACTATTGATTGGTTAGGTTAAGCTAAAATAAACAAAACAGAATACAGTAATACAAACAAAATTATCACACCTGATTTTAATGAGGTGATAAATTGAAAGAATAACATAGCCTACAAATAAGTACAGCTAAGGTATTTTTAACATTAGGTACCGGAAAGTTCCCTTTGGAAAGCAATTACAACCTTAAAGGGCAATTTATGAAATAATGGATAGTTTTGTGCAAAGTTTCTTGTCATGACAAACATTTTAAGTATATGGTTTATGGGGGTGTGACTTGTAGTTTTCTCAAAAGTTGATGGGTACTTTGACCTTTAAGTTCATTTGAAAACTTTCTATATCTGTTGTGTACAAAGGTAAGGCTTTTAACACTTATTCGTTCTTATTTCCCCCTAATTTGGACATGCCAAATCCAATAAAATTATTTTAAATTTTGAAAAATACCCCAAAAGGGCCCAGGGGGTTTTGTAGGGGTGCTTTTTGAGAAATTTTCAAATGTAAACATGGGTTCTGTGATACATCAATTTAAAGATCTAATCATTTAAAAATAATTTTGGGAAAAAAATTTAATTATCTTTAACCGTATGTACAGGGTGGGTTAAAACGTTTTGAAAAAGGACTTTAAAGGTAAGTACCGTATTACCTTAACTACTGAACTGAACAGCGCCAAATTTTTTCCAAGCTTATTCTTGACCTTATCTTTAAAATAACTTGTAGTAAGGGCATTTTCCGTGTTATTTCCCAATGAAAAAAAAATCTCAAATTTGAAGAATAAAAGAAAGCTAAAAACTCCAAATTCTTAAATAGCAAGGTATAATAGATTTCATATCACGTGGAAAGTCCTTTTTCAACAAACATTTTATGTATTTACGTTTTTTTATATCACTTACCATTTAAAAATTACAGTAGAAAAACATAATTTTCTATGGTAAAATTATAACTAGTCTATATATACAGGGTGGGGCAGCATAACTTGCAACATTGCAGCTCTCACTGCATCAATGTTCTCAGGTGATCTAATGGGCCATGGGACTCCAGTTTTTTGTTTTGTTGCACTTGCAGTTTGTCTAAACGTATTGAACCATATAACAATTCATTTCCAAATTTAACCGATTATGAAAGGCGTGCTGGGCTGCGATCACTGAACATCCACTCGAAAAGTAGGCCTCGCCGGCAAACGCACGCTCTTCACTGTTCCAATGCATAATGGTGACTAAACTCTGCAAGGACAAAACTTTATAGCTTCGACTCTCGAACGAGACTGCTAGCTCTTTGACATGAACAAACAAAATGGCGCACATTTAAAAAAAGGAAGTTATGCTGCCCCACCCTGTATAAAATCCAATGTATGTTTGTTTGTATGTGTGTTTGTTTGTCCTTTATGGACTCCGAAACCGCTCGACAGATTGTAATGACACTTTCAGGCATTATTAAGCATTATTCAAGGATGGTTTGTGTGAAGTTTGGTGCAGATCCGTCAAAAGGGCTCCGCCCCAGTGACTCTGGAGTTTTCCATGTTAACCTTATGAGTACTCATATTTAAATGGAATCAAAGAATCTTAACAGCTGGTTCAACTAAACAATTTGATTCTGTGATGTTCAATAGAATTAAAAAGTTAATAGGTTTACCAACAGGGTGCAGCACCATTATTTTTTTAAATTTATGATAACAGCTAATTTGCAACCAAAAGTTGAGTAAGCGTAGCAAACAAACTTCAACCTGGAGGCGAGTTAGCCTCCGAGCTAACCTGAAGGCAAGTGAGCGCAGCGAACGATCTCCAACCTTAAGGTGAGTGAGCGTAGCGAACGAACTTCAACCAGGATGTGATTGAGCCATGCGAACGAGCTCATCTTGAAAATGAACGAGTATTGATATAAAACCACATTAGGACAGGACGACGTCTGTCGGGTCAGGTAGTTTTCTAATAAAACACATACTTTTGAAACAACGATGTAGTAGGATTCATTACAAATTGATCAACTACTTTTACTTGTGTCAGTAGACCCTTCATCCTGTTCTTTTCTGATTGGCAACTGGGCCAGTTTCAGAAAACTCCTAACTAAATCATTTACAGCCGTATGACTTAAGTCCTCACCTTGATATTTATCGTTAAACAAATTTGCAGTTATCCTGGAACGCTTATGTTGTGCCCCATAAATAAAAATAAAGTCTATTTTAAAACGTTTTTATTAGCTCGCTTTCTTGTGCGGTACAAATTTTGAAATCAATTTTATACTAACTTCCCGACGAGCTAGAGACTTGAAACTTGAAACATAGCTCACAAATGGAAGACAATGCAATATTATATCATTTAATTTTCATATTTCCTTTGGGCTACGCCCCATGGGTTTTTTTATTAAATCGCTTTCTTGTAAATTTTGATACTTCCCGATGAGCTAGAGACTTGGAATTTGAAACATAGCTCATAAATGGAAGACAATGCAATATTATATCATTTAATTTTCATATTTCCCTTGGACTACGCCCCATGGGCTTGTTTTTATTAGCTCACTTTCCTACAAATTTTGATATCAATTTTAAACAAAGTTCCCGATGAGCTAGAGACTTGAAACTTGAAACATAGCTCACAAATGGATGACAATGCAATATTATATCATTTAATTTTCATATTTCCCTTGGGCTACGCCCCTTTGGCTTCCAAATGTTCCATGTTTACATTTTAAAAGAATGTATAAATTAATTTAAGTCAGCTGTAAATACTTAAATTTGACAGTTAGAAGAGCAGGAGGTTAAGAGGTACAGGTTCTGCTCCCGAGATATTCTAAAAATATAAAACAATCATTTCAAAGTAAAGATAAAACATCTGATTACAGATAATAAGGTTTTGGTAAGAGTCTGTATAAAATAGATTTAACATATTTACACATTAAAGACTAAAAACTAGATAATAATTTATAAATAAAAATACTTTTTAAAAATTCCACGTTTTTAAACGCACTAAAAAGTATGAAATCATTTATTCAATTTTGAGAGAATAAATACTTGTAAGATTTAAAACGAAAAACGTGGGGCGCATGCAATAGATCATAATAGTTCAATAGGTGAAGTTAATTGTAAATATTTGATTAGGCAATACAGAAAGTAGTACTTTTGAAATTAAGTACTACCATTCACTAGTCAATGGTAGGTACCGTACTACAGAAAGCGGCCCACGTTTGGGTTTTTCTCATCAGCTAAGGCTTTCTTTTCATTTTCTTTTTACAAAGTAAAACATGATTACTTGTTTGTCTATTTGTGTATCAATAATTATTATGAATTGTTTCCTTTCTTTAATGCACCAGCAAATAAAAGAGATGAGTTTTTGGCAGTTTTTTTTTTTTTTTAGAAAACTAGTTATTATTTTACCATAGAAAATTATGTTTTTGTACTTCAATTTTTAAACGGTAAGAGATAGAAAGAAAACTTGAATACTTAAAATGTTTGTTTAAAAAGGACCTTTCAAATTAATATATAGATTTATTAAACCATGCTATTTAAGAATTTTTAGTTTTTAACTTTCTTTTATTCTTCAAATTTGAGATTATTTTAAATTGGGAAATAAATGGAAAATGCCCTTAGTACAAGTTATCTTAAAGAGTAGCTCAAGAATAAGCTTGGAAAAAAATTGGCGCTGTTCCCTTCAGTAGTTAGGGTAATAGGACTTAACTTCAAAGTCCTTTTTTAAAACGTTTTGACCCACCCTGTACGGTTAAAGATGGTTGAATTTTTTCACCAAAATGATGGGGCTGAACTTTAAATTGATGTATCACACAACCTATGTTTACATTTGAAAATTTAAGAAAAACACCCCTATCCCCCAAATTGGGCACTTTTGGGGCATTTTTCAAAATTTAAAATAATTTTATTGGATTCGGCATGTCCAAATTAGGGGGAGAACTAAAAAGTGTTAAAAGCCTTACCTTTGTACACAGCAGATATGGAAAGTTTTCAAATTAACACACTGTATATGGATGGATAGTTTATTGCAACAATAATACACAAATATTGTGCAATCAGAAATGTTGTTGTTATCTCCTATGATCCAATATAATTAGGCCTGCACTTAATTTTTACACCCTTAAAATTGCACAAGCAAAAAAAGTCAACAGATCTTAGATAAAATATCTGAGAAAGTATAAAAATATAATTTAGTGTAAAATGGTTTTTGCTTTACTGTTTTTAAGGTATTACCAGGTATAAAGATTAGATTTATCTATGAAAACAATGTTTCAAATCATTTTAACCTTTTATTATAAAAATATTACTGGCTTACTTTAAATAACAAAAAGTGGAAGAAACTATACAATACAACATGGTTTTTCAAATCTTTCTAAATAGTAAATTACCCTGCATGATAATATATGACCCCAAAATATAGATAAAGAGGTAGGCATGTCTCCCCTGCATATAACAATATATTTGTGACAACTTTCTTAAACTAATCCTTTAGACAAATCTATTTACTCCCATTAAGTACATTTTAGTTTAATAGAACTGTCTCAAAATAAGTTTACGTTCAAGTGGCAACTTTCCATACTTATTACCATTGTATAACTATTGTTTTATCAACACACAATTCCTCTTTCTTGGCCACTATTGTTTTGGTTATTTTTTTGAGAAAAGAGCAGAGTACCATTTTTCAGGATTCAAACCTCAAGAATCATGAGGGAGAAATCTTGAATATATCACGGAGGGTGATCATAATAAGATGTTGACAATAGTAATTATGCAATTTTGTGTTTTTTTTTCTTCAAGATGTGCAACACAAATTAAAATGTTACTGAAAAGTGAAAACATTCCAAATGGACTTATTCTAGTCAACATAGTGTTACAGAATTTTTTTTATTTTATTCAGTTTGAAAGAAAAAAACTTGAATTAAAGAGTTTAAGTTTCTAGTAGTTAAAGCAGTTACTATCAGACATCATTAAGAACTATGAAGTTGTTGGTTCCATTTCAGAAGCGGGCTAGAATCTTTTTTCCTTTTGTAACAAAACTTGTCAATATTATATTAGGTGGATTTAAAATAATTATGGTTGACATAAATTAAGATTTGGCAGATGACTCATTAAATGGTCAAATATTTTGACAAACAAATTTCTTGGATTAATAATCAATGAAAATCATACTTGGAATAATCATGTTAAACATGTTGTAAGAGAATTGAGTTCTGGTATATCTGCTTTGAGGCAGATGTCTCAGATCTGCAGCATTGATACTCTGAGAATAATATATTTTTCATTACTGCATAGTCACATATCTTATGGAATATCTATTTATGGAGCAACAACAAAGAGCAATTTGGATCCCATTCTAATTAAACAAAAGAAGGCTATTTGTGTTATGAAACTGCGAAAAAGAGATTCTGCTAGGAGATATTTTACAGAATTATAAATCTTAACTGTGTATAATCTGTATTTATGAAACATCCGTCTATGCTAAACGAATTCAATTGTCATCCACTCCAAATAATACTGGTGTCCATAACACTAGATTTAAAATTGTTTTACCACGGCATATCTGGAATTATTTAAAAAGAAAATTTACTATTCAGGGTTAACATTTTTACAACACCTACCGGCTCCTTTAAAGATAGAAGAAAATATAAATAAATTCAAACGCACACTAAAAAAGTTTTTAATTCAATATCCTTATTATTCTATAGAAGAATTTCTTAAGCACAAAAATCAGCACATAATATTAAATTTGAATTCCATAACATAACTAAGGGAACTTATTTGTTTGTATTTACTTTTTGTATCTTCACGGTGCTCAGAAATACATTATTGTTTTTATTTTATGTAAGCCCTCGACTAAATGTTTACTTTCTAATGTTATTGACTTGACTCTATTCAACACATGTACTCTGTGTTTTATTGAATAAAGAATGATTTGATTTAATCAAATCAAATCATTCTTTATTCAATAAAGCTATAACCTTGCTATAACCTTTAGCAAGTATTAGAGCTGTTCAAATCTGAACAGCTCTAATACTTGCTAAAGGTTATAGTGCTAATAACATGGTCACATTTATAACTTGCATTATGGTTGCAAAAAGGCTTTGAATTGAGGGGAGGATATTTTTGGTTATAACAACAAATTATTATTAATGAGAAAATACATCAGCGGCACTATTTTTGGGCTCTGTATAGTATCTACTCACCTACAGCACTAAAGTTGAATGTAAAAGTTGAAGGCAAATCAAACGGCATATTGTTTCGTAACAAATACTTGTAATTCAATCATCAATGAGTGAATAACAACTGCAAAAGGTTATCACTGGTAATAGAAAATTGTTGAAATTAAGTGGATAAAACTTAACACAATATCATCAAGATTAAAATTATCACTTACCAACAATTTACATTATCATAACATTGATACATATTCTGAAAATGCATATGGATGTGTTAGGGACTATGTTAGGTTATGAAGATTATAGTAAAATTAAATCAATTACTGTACGTTTTTTTACATTTATAGAAATGTTAGGGTTTGTTACTAAAATTAAATTATTGATTATTGACTTTCAAATTATAGATTGATAAGAGGTTAAGTAAATTTGTCTACTTTACTATATCAAGGATTAAGAATAAGATTCCAATTAATTGTTATTGGGTACTCTAGAGTCCAGATAGAATGTGGCTGTTAACCGATTGAATTATATTCCCTACTACCGCGCAAATCTGGTTATATTGCTCCTGGGTTGTTGTAAACTTGTACTGCCTGATTTGGCTTTGAGTAAGGAAAGTTTGTTAAGAAGTTACAGTATACAAACAGATATTGAAAGAGGATCAGCTTTTAAACCTCAAAGTTACAGCCAAACATCATAATCTTCGCTGATTTCATTGAAATTAAGTTGGGTCAATGTGTCACTTACTGTATCTTTGAAGTTTTAAATACCTCAGTGACCCAGTTATACCTTATGTATAAAGTGCCACCGTTTAGATTATGAAATACTAATCTCTCATCTACCTTGTTCAAAATAAATTTAGTTACTTAGCTTAAACAAAATTAAATACACATTTGTAAGCAGTGAATTAGGTTGAAGTAAATAATCACCAATCTGTTTTGATAAATTTAGAACAAATATAATTATATTTTATGAAAAAACTGTCAATTATAGTTTGTGTACAATCACTTATGGTGTTGTGACAACAATCACCAAAACTAATCAAACTGACTGCCTTTACTGTCAAACACTGTTCATAATGATAGTTTGATTGTGTTTGGCAAGTTTCGATAACTGTTTCACTCCACTCTACTCTCCTCTAAATTTAATCAGAAGACATGCTTTGAAATAAAACTATTCAGCAAACATATCAGTTATTCAAACACATTGGCTGTACCTGTCACATAACATTGTATAATGAAGATGATGTTGTGTCTTGTTACATTTTTTTATACTAAAACTATTATAAAACCTTTAAATATTATTTTTTTAGTTTTAGGTATAAGTATTAATATTTTAAAACCTGATTCCAATGTTTAAAGGTAATGTCAACACATAACTGTATCTTAATGGATAAGTTAGTATTACTTACCTTTCAACAGACGGGTTGAATTTTAGAAATAGCTTCAGCGAGTGGTTCACATAATCTTGCCTGTTCACAGAACTGTGATTGTACTGTTATAAATACGGACTGTAAATACGTGTTAAGGACCAAGCACAGGAATTTGTTGGACAATTGGAAAAAATATGAAATTTAAGTGTAGCAATATTTCTCACAATCTAGCATACAGCTGACACAGCAGATTGCTAACATCTGCTTCTTGGAGAGATTAACGTAATTTGATGTTAATTGTTAGACTATGATTTGGATTTACAATATTTTTATAGTTACAGTTAAACAAAAAGTGTTGAATACAGTACATAAAACTACTATCTGGGATATTTCTATTACTTCGGAAATCATACATAACTTTAGCATGTTTTCAACTGCGTTCAATCTGCGTTTTCAACGCGACAGTGAAAATGCGCGGACTGGAGCGTCGGTGCGCGTATAGCTACACTCACGACCTATCCCACGACGCGTGTCGTGGCGGACTGGGGGCCACAGTGGATAGTGTACAAGATAGAGACCTCCGTACTGCACTGTAATTGTATTGACAGAAAGTATACCTATGTAAGAGCAAATTGCTGTTTCTTTGAGATTTCTTGTCACTGGGAACAGCTATGTTAGTCTTGTCATTTTTGTTCAGACAAACTGTATCAAGATGCGTCGATGAAGATTGCACTGCGTTAATTGAATAACATAAAAATTAAATAAAGGTAAATTAATGTTCGTATAAAGGATATTATACATCAGGTTACTTTACCTTACAGGTTATAGGCTGTTACTTTATTATAGTTAAACATTAAAATAAATAATGTCCACTTTTTAAAATGGCTCTCAAATATTATTTAATTAATTGATGATGATGATAGTGTTTATTTAATTTCTTTCAACAACAGTTTACGAAACATGTATAGGTTACTAAATAGGACTATCACAGGGTGGTCCTCGCTCCAACCTGCGCCTTTGATGTTGACAGACATTTTACGGGAACGGACGCGCAACCCCGCTCCATGCCACTCTTGCGCGTACCACCACGCGCTTACCCTGTCCCACCACGCGCAACGCTCTGTGGGACATAGGCTTTTAATGTACGCAATAGTGGTAAGTCCACCATTAAGGTTTTTGAAACTAGTAATTCAACTCCTTTTCACTCTACTAAAATAGCACAAATCCTTGAAAAATGTTAATATAAATTGAATGTGGAACGCACCATATTTTCTGCGAAATATTTCCTGTAATATTATTCTTTGTCAGGTTATAGCCAACACAAGCTATACATTAACTATAGCTATACATTAAGTTGGTAAACAAGCTATACATTAACTAGAGAAACTAAGAATTACACCCATTCTACACGATCCTTTACTCTTATACACAGGACTGTGACTATGAGTATCTTTAGTAAAGGATATTATCAACTGCATATCTGATGTCCTGCAGAGCCAACAGCAGTAGCCCGGCCCTCACTGTCTGTCCATTTGTCACCAGCAGCTCTAGGACTCTGTTCCACTGGCCTTGTGAAACCAGCACTAGAGCAGCAAACTCCTATACACACCCAAACTCTAGAGATATCATTGGCTTTTTGAAATAAGTTCACAACATTATCTCTCAAACAATCTGTAATTTTTAATTTTTTCTGTAATTTGTAATTTTTTTTCTTACATTCGTGATGGAAAATGTCCGCAATAAACCTTTGAACAATCTGTAATTAGTTTTGATACAACATCTACTAGCCCTGGCTTATACAATTATTAGCTATAAGTTAAGCTGGTCACTAGTTTTAGTGTGGACATAGTTAGAGTCAGTGCAGCTAATTTAGAGGTTAAGCCAGGGGAGTGCCAAGTTACATTTATGGCCAAGATGAGGGTTGTGTCTATTGCTCTCCACATAGTTGGCTTGCATTCCATCTCCTCTCTTGTCCCAGGCAGAATTGAGGACCTGTCAGTTATTGTATTATACTGCTACCTATTGACTTTTTGTAAAACAATGTCCCCAAACACTACCACGTAGTACATTTCCTAACTGTGACTCTAACAATGTCCCCAGAGGCCAAAAACACCATTCGTTCAAATTTTTATATATCTATAGATATAACTTATATATGTGTCCATCCGCACGATAACTTGAGTAATTTTTGTCCGATTTTGATGAAATTTGGTTTAAAGGTGTAAGGCGGGATAAACTTGAATGAGTTTGCGAACCAGCATGATCGGACCATGGGAACGGGGTTTTATGGGGTAAAAATTGGTTTTTCTCATTTTTGACCCCTAAAACACAAAATTTCCTAATTTATCTCTAGACCATATTAAAGAGCTTAAAAAAACAAATAATTTAGTGTATCAAAGTGTTTTTGTACGGTTATTGGTAACGGAGAAAATTCAAAAAAAGTAAATGAAAAATTCCCATGTTATTCTTATGGAGAATATTGAAAATGTTGTAGTTTGTTTGATTATGGATATATTTTGATCAAACTTGGCAAATTTATTTATTTTATACTAAGTTATTAATATTTTACTAAAACACACTTTATTAGTTTTAGTTTCCTTGTGGCAGCAAACCTAGGTACTCGTTAAACCTAATGTTATTTAAATAGATTTAATTGAAAATCATTCAGAGAAATGGAAGTTCGCTTAGTCGGCAGGTTTGCTGCGGCGGGGGTATTTTTAACTACAGGCGAACTTCACAAGGAAGGTAATTTGTTACATTCATTTCAATTGTTCCTTTATAATTTGGTAATTAAATTAAAAGAATAGTTATGAATAAAAGACTAACATAGCCTCACATTAAACTACATACCTTCTCCCCAATGGCATTTAGGTGATCTGACCATTTCTTGAGGACCTCTAGAGTTTCTACAGGAGGCAATGTGCTCTTGGCCAGCCACACTGCAGACTCCCAAAGTCCGTAGGAGGAGAGGTAACGACATCCATCCAAGCCCTTGCCTATCAGGCACAGCAACTGAACACCTACGCAAAAAACATTGGGCCTCAATCAAGTAATGTAATTTTCTTTTGAATCCAAAACAGATAAAATATCTGATATAATAATACATGGTCAGCTGCTTGACTTGCTAGACCTGGACTAACCTCCAACTGCTCTGCCGTACTTGCAAAGATTTGGTAAAAAGTAGCAAAGCAATTTTTTGGTAATCTTGCCTTGGATTTACCCTGTCTGTGGTCTTTTGAGGAAGTTCTTCACATTTGATTGAGTTAGATTGGTGAATTTAACCAGAATATTCAGGTATTTTTCTATAGTAAAATATTTTAAGAAAAATGCAAAAATTAATTGTGAGAAAATTTTAGCATAACAGTTAATTCAATTCCAACAAGAAGACACTAAAACGAGTACGACACCCAACAATAACTGAGCATATGTTAATCCTTTTAAAAAGCCAAGACATGAGGGTGAGTTAAAGGCAGAAAAAGAGACAAATTTTAATAAAGTCAAAAATAAGTCATTCAAATAGGAAAATACTCAACACCATGTTTGTATGATGTTTTAAAAATTGTTTTAACCGAAGGAAAAAATTCTAAAAATCTTTCCAGTGAGTTTGTATACACCCTTTATATGTGTCTGTTAGCACGATAACTCAAGTCAAAATCCTACATTTAATTAAAGAAGTTCTTGAACCAGCATGATCAGACTATGGGACCAGGGTGTTATGGGGTAAGAAATTGGTTTAAGCAAATTTCTTGATAAGGATTTACACTAGGTCTTGTGGTAAACCCATGGACTAACCAATACAAGTAAACTTCTTATATCATTGTAAAATTTTAAGCTCGTTTTCGGTATTGATGACACTGTCGACAAAATTTTTTTATATTATTTTTAGATGTGTGCGATGCATTGAAAGTGAAATTCCTATTCGATTTGATTCTGTGGTTATCAAAATATTTATGTGTGCCCTTCTTTAGTATTTTTCTGAAAAGTTTTTCTTTTAAACTAAACATTATTTTAATAACTTAATACCCATTTTTACTTTCTCCCCCTATACCATAGTATATGGAGAAAGTAGGCCTATTGTTTTCGTCAAAATTTTCGAGTTTGAGTTTTGAGTGGATATATTCGTTTTGGGTCCCCCTGGACCCAAAAAAGTGGTTTTCGAAGTGATGTCTGTGTGTGTGTGTGTCTGTGTGTCTGGATGTGTACAGAGCTAGAGACTACACCTGTGGTCCGATTTCGATGAAATTTGGTATGTAGGTTCTAATCCATAGTATCTCCAGGCGTTTTTTTTCATTTTTTTGAAATTTTGATTTTTAATGGGGATTTTCCCATAAAAACCCATAAAAAACCGGAAAAATCGGATTTTCTCAAAAATGGCCCAAACGATTTTGATAAAAATTTAGTATGTTGTAGCCCTTTAAATTCTGAACAAAATGGTACAAATCCCATTTCTGTAAAAATTACGGTTCAAAAGTTATGGTAAATTATGTTATTTTCCCATAAAAATCCCATAAAATAACGAAAAATAGGATTTTAGACAAAAAAATCCGTTTTTATTTAACATAGTATGTTATGATCCTTACAATTTTGATAGTTTTTCTCATTTCTTAGAAATTTTTATTTTTAATGGGTATTTTCCCATAAAACCCCATAAAATGACGAAAAAAAAAGATTTTCCCAAAAATGGCCTGAACGATTTCGATAAAAATTTAGTATGTTCATTTTCCTTTTGGAGAGTGGGGGAAGCCCCTGATGCTACTTGACCTGTTTAATTTGTGCTCCTCAGTTTTTTAGAATTTTAACCCGGAAATTATTTGTTTTATGAGTTGTGTCTGGTATGTAAATATTCAGTTTTAATTTTTGTTCAAAATTCTGGAACCAGTTTTTTACTTTAAATAACCGGTTGTAAATTGCAAAAGTTTTTCTTGGATAAATTCAAGTTTCACCAGATATTTGTGCTAAGATTAGTCAAGAGATAAGACGGCAGCGCTGATAAGACGGCAGCGCAGGAGTTGACCTTTGGAGTGGACATGTGGATGAGCTTCTACACAAGTCAGGTTGTTTGTTTACCTGTCACCTGAAGTCTGACCCATATAGATAAGACAATCTTGGACTCTGGCTAAACTTCTTATTTCTAAGAGCAAATATCCCAAAGAAAACAAAACAATTAATTACTTTTTTGTACAGTGAATTGAGCTCCTTAACTTGAAAATCAAATTTATATATTTCTGTATTCACAACAAAATTTTTATTTTATCATGTTATCCAATTCTCAAGCCGATTTAAAAAATAAGAACCCAAACTTACCTAGAGGTTGGGTAAGAGAAGAAAAGTTGAGGAAAAATGGTTTGAGTAAGGGTAAAACTGATGTTTACATTAAGTCACCAGGTGGTAAACTATTCCGTTCTAAAAAAGAGCTAGATAAATACATTAAGGAGAAAGGGCTCCCACTTAAAATTGAAGATTTTAATTTTACCTCAAGAAAAAACAGTAATGATTTGTCATTTTCTAGTAGCAATGAATCTTTCAGCCATGAACCGTTAAATTCTTCTGTCTCAACAAAAGTATATGAAACCATAAGTACTCAAACAGATCACATACCTGAACCTAAGCTTGTAACATCAATAGAAACACAAACCGATCTCACTTCAGTTAAGAAAACAAAATTCACTGATGAACTCTTGGAAAAAAATTGGTTGACTGATTTAACAATACAGTCCTACCTAGAAATAATCAGTGACAGATTTTTGGCCTCTAAGTCATGCATTGTTGTAAATCCCCTTATTGTGCATGCTATTAAAAATCTCGTTGATTTTATATATATATTAGAACCATTAAATGTGAAAACAAGCAATGTTTTGATATTGCCAGTAAATGATTCTGAGAGCTTGGATGGAGATAGTGGTACCCATTGGAGCTGCCTGATATATAATAAGATTGAAAATACTTATTACCATCTTGACTCGCTCAATCATCACAATTTACCTTCGGCTAAGAAACTTGTTACCAAACTTTCTAGCTACCTAGGAGGGGAATCGTTAACAGCACCTCTCATTCCTGTGAAATGTCCACTACAGCCCAACACCTATGACTGTGGCGTTTTCACGTGCTGGTTCATTGAATCAGTAATACAGGACATAATGGATAATAAACCTGTTGATATTGATTTCTTTCAGAGGGTGTGCCTATCCAACTCAGAGTTGACAAAGATACGTTGTCTTATGGCTTATTTTTTGCTTAACAACCACAGTGTTAGTAATGACACATTTTATTCTGTTATGATTGAGAAGCCAGAAAAATGCACCAGTCCAGCGGCAGTGATTAAGCATTATTCCAAGGAGCAGTCATGGAATTTAGTTACACATAAAAATACAAGACAAGCTCAACACATAAATTTGGACAAAACTAGTAATCCACCAAACAAATGCTCTGATTTACCCCTGAGTAACAGCTTTGATCCATTGAGCGGCCAAAGTGAGGAGGACAAGACTGTTTCCCAAACCGTGAAAGCTACTGACGTTACTCGGAAGAACCAGAAACGCCACACAAACTGTAAAAAACTTGCAGGAAAACCAAAGATAAGAAGGTTTTGTAAGAGAAATGTAAATCTAGTCATTCACTCAGATAGCCAAGGTAGAAACCTGGCAAAACAAATTAACCTAATGAGTGAAGGGAAAATTAACTGCTTAGGAATTGTGAAACCTAATGCAAGACTAGTATCTATTCTTGACGGTGCTAAGAACAATGAAAAAACTCCAATTTTGGTTATTGGGGGTACAAATGATTCACTTCAATGCAGTGCAAAGGAGCTTTATAAGACTATAGAAGATAAATTGAAGATACTGTCATATAAAGAACACATATTCTTGGCTACCATACCACCAAGATTTGATATACCTAGAAATAGTCCAGTCCATGATGAATTAATTACCCTAAACAACTACATTAACGAATTAAGCTCCCGCATCCCCAATGTAAAAATCATTAACTTAAACCCTTTAAGAAAACACAACTTTACACGACACGGGCTTCATTTCAACTATAAAGGGAAGAAGACTATTTCTAAAGAAGTAATTGAACAATATGAAGAAATAGTGTTTGGAAGAATAGGGACTGTAGAAAATAAAGCACCAGTGCTCAACTCCTTATCAATTATTCCACCATTTGCTACCAAAGATAAAGCGAATAAAATAAACGAATCTGATTCACTCTCGACTACCAGGTCTGGCTGTTCACTTGAAGCATCCTTACTGGAACAAGGTAATACGAGCCAGCCCTCACAAGTACCAACGGACGTCTCTCAAGCCAAAGAAGAAACTAACAAAGATCTAACAAAGACAAACAAAGATCAATGCACAGCTGGAAAAAATAAAAAACTTGATGCCATTAAGACTATAAAGGAGAAGGTAGGAATAAAAATAGTTGAAGAAGATATGTCTGATGTTATCAGCCGCTTGAAGAACAACAGCTCAGTCGCTTTTGCGCACTGTATATCTAGTGATTTTCACGAAGAAAGAAACATGAGCGCAGGCGTGGCTGTAACTTTTAAGAAGATTTTTGGAAGACCACAGACCTCTGACACTCTCAACAAATACCTATCGTTCCAGCAAACCGATAACGGAGCAGGCATTTACGGGCTTATGACAAAATCAAAATTCTCTGCTAAACCCTCTTTAGAAGATTATAATTTGTGCTTTTCACACCTTATTAGCAACATCAATACAAGAAACTTTAAAATGTTGGTATGCTCTCCAATGGGCTGTGTGAGGGACCGTATCTCCATTGAGAACTTTGCGAAGAACATAGTGCAACTTCATATAAAGACAGGGGCAGCAGTGTGTGTAGTTGCAAAGCCAGAAAACTCATCCAGACAACTTTATAATGGACTCGACTTTCCTAAATTCGTAAATGAACTTCGTCACGAAATTCATCAGGCCGAGAGTATGGCGAGGGAGTCTGCACTGAAATCTTCCCAACAGCGCCCATGTGGAAGTGATGGAGTCAAGTCAGTTGTAGAGCACAG